GAGAGAGAGAGAGAGGAGAGAGAGAGAGAGAGGGAGCGAGAGGCAGCCGACCAACGAAAATGAAAGTGACGGAGAAAGTTGGGGCATTGTTACGGAGCGTAAGCCCGGCGTGTGACGATGTTGTATGCCTGAAAATCCGATTTCGATTCGCGTGGGCACGCGTTCTCGCTCCTCTGCTCATGCGCGTGCGCTTGCGCGCGTGTACACATCGATCACGTGCCCAACGAGAGAACCGAAAGAAACCTTTGCCTCACGATTCTTTCCGATTATTTTTAGACAATAGAACAAGACGAATCGTACGATTTATTATCGATTTGTAAATATTTGGACTATTTCTCTAGCAGCTAGGCTGACACTTGTTTGTATACGCTGTTCGAACGAATTAATAAAAAGGTAAATACATCCATTTTTCGACATCTAAACATCGACGCTCGGGGATTAATATTCGCGTAAGGGCGGCGCGAGTCAAGGACAGTTAACTCTATAGATTTCTAAATTATCGACTATCTCTGTTTACCGGGCGTTGCGAAATTCGTTGCTCCGAGTTGAAGGAGAAGAAATTGGGTCGTTAAATACGAATTTCTTTTTTTCTTTTTCGTTTCCTTCGATTCTAAGCAATTTCCTTTCCCGATGATAACTTTTTCGAATCGAATGGATTTATTCGACGAATAAACTTTGGTTATTGAATGAGAAAAAATCGCCGAAATTTTTTTGCTAGCGTTTGTTGCTATATTTTCCAACTCCAAATTTAAATTCCACGCAATTCATGAAATTCATTATTTCGTATATTTCGATTCGTTTAAAATGAAGAAGGAACGTCGTTGCAAATTTTAACTCGAAATCGTAACTCGAATAAACGTAAAAACGTGTACTTGTTGCACACGTGGAAAAAAAGAAAACCGTTTTCGGTTGGAAAATTATCTTACGAATTATTAACCGATTATTTTATGTCGAGGTTATCGTTTACCAAAAACGTCTCACGAATATTTGGCAGGGTGAAAGCCCTAAGTGTCCTCCCCACCCTCCTCCACTACTAGTTACGCCATTCACTATGGATCATTGGTGTTGCGATATCTCGAAACTTTCTCTTTGAGTTAATAAATCGTAATAGATTATTAACCACTATTGTAGCCGAAGAAAACTTTCTATGTAACAATTGATTACTTTACGTCTTACACACCAGTTGAATAATTTCCAACCATTGTTGTCGTAAATGTTGCGCAATCTCGTCAAAATCATCCAAATTTACATACTTTTCGTTCCAACAAATAATATCTATCTTTCTTACGGAACAAACGTGGAGATGATAGAATTTCTTCGTATCGTACGAACAAGTTAAACCTTGCAACAAAGTGAAAACAAATTTCACTTCGCGTTTATTATCGAAACAATTTCGTTCGTTATCAATTATCTCGTTAAAAACTTTAAAACTTGATTATTCGAAAGTAAACGTGTTCCAACACACAACTGCTCTCGGTTCTTCGCTCGAATCGTCATTTATCCGACGCGATCGTCAACAAGCTCGAGGGCAAACATTTCCAGATGAAAAGAAGAAGAAGAAGAAGAAGAAGAAAGAAACTGGAAAGAAATATACAAAAACAACGTTGCAGAAAAGTATGCGGTTTACTCGGCAGAGAACGGAAACACGAAGCAATAAAACTTTTTTATATTTTCTTCTTATCTCTCTTTCTCTCTCCTTTCCAAGAAGCCGAGTGGTAACAAACTATGGAAAAGTTTCCTTTCCTCGTTACCTAATTCCGTTTTTTATCATTCGTCGCGATGACAAGGTTACCATCGTAACGGCCATAATGAAGCTCTCGCTCCGAGAAAAAAAAGAAGTGAGTGTGTGTGTGTGTGTGAGAGAGAGAGAGAGAAAGAGGCGAAGAAAGAGGGGAAAGAAATACATACATACATACATACATATATACATAGATGCACATGTAATCGACGCGTTAGTGCACGGCCACGACGTTAGAAGTCTAACCAACTGACATAAGAGGCGGCCGACGAAAGTGCCACCTTACATAATTCGAGCACGGGACACACGTTCGTCCTCGTGGTACGAGTGGTAAAGGGAACGAATTGTCGACACACTCGTCGTCGTGGAAAAAGGAAAAAGAAAAAGACGAAGGAAAAAAAAAAATGGATGGAAATCGTGCAAGAAGTTAATTACCGATTGTTTCGTCGAGCAGACACGCGCTTCGCTTTTTTTGCGATTCCACGCTCGTTCGAGAAACGACGTTTATTACGAGGAGGATGGATTCCGCGATCCTTCGTCTTGAGATATTATTTAAACGGGCGTTTTTTTCGAATAATTCTTTCTTCCTCCGATCCTTCTTTTGTCGCCTCGCGTTTTTCAACATTTGTCGAGAAATATTTATCGCGTATAAAAGATGCTTGAATATATATCCTTTTCAAAGGATATTCGGATAATCTTGCTGGAAAGTTTGTTGTTTTTAGATAGATTGTATAGAGACTTGATTTGACGCGTTTTCTCTCTCTCTCTCTCTCTCTCTTCCCTTTTTAATGATATCTGACGATCTCTTTGCACAAATAAAATTAAAAATAAATTTCCTTCCTTAGGAAACGAGATCGTTCGAGGAAAAAATATCATTCGTTTTTGCTCGAAGAAGACACACGTTCGATATTTAAATCTATCCATCGTAACGTTCACGCGACGTATAATTTATTCTTCAAAATTAAAGTTGAGTCACGGTCGATGCAATTACACACAGGCTCCACACTTTTCGTCGTGATAGAGCGTTTTAGACAAAAAATACTCTCGATATTCGTCAACG